AAGAGCCAGAGCTTCGCTGAAAAAATAAAAAAGAGCGTGCTGCTCGTGACGAGAGAAATCCGATGATTTGAGGGTCCTGGTCATCGCTGACGAGAAAAAGCCAATTATTTTTATGTCCTGGTCAATGCTGAGATCCTAGGTCACTGGTTGACCTTCCAGATCAGGTTAATAACCCAAAAGCACGGAAAATTTGGTCCTGCTAGAATTTCTACAAGTGAAGTTTGCTGGGACTTGGCTTGCTTCTGACTCCGAATTTGCACTTGCTTTGATCAAAGATGATGTATCAAAGCATTTGGGGTAGGACGGGTCACGCCAGATCACCCATTAGGCGTTCTGCCGGCTATATAGAATGTTAACCAGCACTTACAGCCTTGCAACATATTGCATAGGCACTATAACTGATACCTAAGTATGCCTAGTTTTCAAATGCTAAAATGGGTGCTAAATTTCAAACCAACACTTCATAAAAACCACAGTAAAAAGGTGTAAATTTAAGGAAGTTAACCGAGATCATTTCAAGTAAATGACCTTAACCTGAGTTTCACGTGACCTTGGCACCCACAACAATTAATGAGACAAACATTAGATAGTATATTTCACATGTTGTCACGTTGCTAATCACGAAACGACTATGGAAACACACAGAAGATGTGCGCTGACTTTCAATTGCTATTCTGGCCTGACATGATCTTGAAAAAAATAATCACAAGTTAAAGGTAATTTGGTTCAGGGATTTAAAATTCTCAGACAAGATGCAAAAATGATAAGGGCTATTTAATTTTCCGGGAAGTTGTAACATTGATTAACTCCAGGGCACCAAAGAATCGTCGCAATCCTTCGCTTTGCCGCGATTTATTGGTGTAAAACAGCGGGCGCGGTCTACTTACCTCTACTTATATGTGTGGTGAGGGCTAATATTCATTTTATCTGTGTTGATGAATGTGCAACGATTTCTATATGAACTGAGACCAGTCCATATGAGTATGTTTTTCTCACGGACAATTGACAATATAAAAAACAATGCGAATAAAACCAAACGTTTCGGACAACAACGTGCCTTCGTCAGTGGAGAAAAATGAGTGTATAGGTTTAACATCGATGATAACTAAATGCGGCACTGTCTCGGTCTGGCCAGCCGGGTTGCCGATAAAATACACAAATGTTTATAAGCTTCCATGATGTGCTTAAAAAACTGCTGAAAATATATCTTTTTAAAAATAAAGATAACTACTTCATCGATGTTATCGAAAGAAAACATGTATGCCTAATTACTTATTTCTTGCCACTGACGGAGGCACTTTTTTGTGCGAAACGTCTGGTTTTATTCGTATTGTTATTGTATTGTCATTCCCTGTGAGAAAAAAGGATAACTCTTCAGTTAGTAACCATAACAGCGAAACGGCTTATTGTAACACAATTCACTGTGTATACGAAACCCATAAGTCCCTAAAATAATTTTATTTACAACCTTTAAAAGATACAGCTTATACAGCTTGGGCATACAATTTTTTCTGCATTAAGATAATATTAATTTATCTCCACAGAGTATGGTAAATTAGTGCTGCTGAAGTTCGCTTTCGAAGCGTCTCCTCCAGGCATTCCACAGCTCTCGTGCCATTTTGGATCACGGAACATGGCTGGGCGCAGGACAGGTCACGTTGTCTGCGAGCTTGGACGGACCACGTGACCACCTCCTCCACTCCCCCTCACTCCCGTCCCCTTCCCCAGCAGGGCGTCCGATCTAACCGCGCCCCAGGCAGTCGGCTCGGTCCGACCCTCCCCATGGTCGAGCCACGGTGCCGCCTGAGTTTGTGCCGGGTGCAAAACTGGAGCAGTAACTGGCGCCGGAACTAGTAGTCAGCACGACCATCGTCAGATGGCAGGAGTAAATGGAATAAGCGGTTCCAGGTTTCAGAAGGAATGGGGCAGGAAAAAGCGCTGAAAACAATGTTTTGCTAATATAGCCATAAAAAGTTCACTGAATTAGGAGAGCAGCACATCAGTTAAAAGCCCTTCAGATGGTGGTTTTAATAAGCACACAATCATTTCCCAATTCGCCTCCAACGGTGTGACAGGCAAAGAATACGCTGAAATACTAGTGTGTACAGAAGCAACTGCGGGTCCCTGTACCAAGTTAATCAGCTGGCTGTAGATAAGTTTCTAAAAAGGATCACTCTGGGCATGCTATTTGGCTTTGTATAGTGTGTTTTCATTTGTGCTCTATAGACTGCCCTTTATCACCATCTGATCTCTCGTGCTTTCATTTGATGACTGTTGCATCACTTTCATTCGCCCCCAGACCCAAGCAGAGTTGAGGGAGGCCACTCGATCACTCTCTGATGTTAAAGATCGTCTAGCGCGATCTCAAAGAGAGCGAGAAGAGGAAACGAAAAACTACACCGAAATGCTGCGGTGAGCTGTCAGACATACAAACTCCAGCATCCACGTAATGACGGTGCGATCGATCGTGCCTGATATCTATGCTTGATTATTGTGAAAATTCATGCTAGAGATGTTAGATATGAATGCATAGGTACCTGATTTTGTGGTGATTATTCAGATGCTGCATAATTATGACAATTTCGTAATAGCAGTAATTTGTCTTGTGTCACAGCTCGCACTCGTTCGTATTTGTATTTGTATTTACATTTAAGAGCGATCCACATACAAAGTGCGTGGCGATTGCTGCTCAACTAACGATTAACGTTACAACTAACGATTAACGTTCAAATACTTTCACTCATGTTTGCGCTATATTTGCTGCTGTTGACCTGATCACCCCTCTCCCTCCTCTCCCCCTCTGCAGCGAGTCCCAGGAGGTGCTCTGTCGGGAGCGCGAGCTGGCGCGTCAGACTGAGCTTCGTGCTGCCGATCTGGAGGCCGAACTACACCAGCGTCACGCAGCGGACACGCGTACTCTAGAGATGACGGAAAACGCCGACAGATGGCAGGCTAGGGTCGCCGAACTAGAACAGGTTCGTCCGTGTACGACGTACGTGGTTGTCCCATGGATGAAGTATTCCTGGATAGGACACTCCTTATTCCCCAATGCTAGCGCCGGCGACCAAGTGGCCGCCCTGGTGGCGGAGCGCCGAAACATCGGTGGCGAGTGCACCGGCGTGCGTGCTGAAAACGCGGTAATAGAGAGCGAAATTAGCGAGCTTTAGCTCGTAATACACGATTTCAGACACTTTAAACATATATTTAGTCATTTTTAATAATTACTATGGCTCGATTTAGTCACTATCACATACGGAACCATTAGACACGATCCGCTCATAGTGCACGCAATGCTAAAAGGCGCCTGCGCCCTCGCCGGCGTGGGTGGTCGGAAAATCGGCGGAGTGTCCCATCCAGGAATACCTTATAATCCATGGTTGTCCGTTGTAGTTACGAAGAATATACGCTACGTGCTCTTGGCTAGAGGTGTCAATAGTTGATTTGTTTTAATTATCATGTTTGCATGCATTTAATTAAAAGAAGACGCCAGTGCGACCCGGATATTCGTTTCGCTCCTATCTCAGGCTCTTTGTGTCGTGACGAACGGAAGACTGAGGAGCGCATGGTCACAAAGAGACATGTCTGGAGAGTAGCACTGGTCTTCCGCGCCGTTTCAGACTATATGACCGTGAGGAGCGCACTTTCAGTCTAGAGAGTCACTCTGCCCCCACCCCCCACCCCCTCCCGGGCGCTGTTTCAGACTCTATGTGATCGCGAGGAGCGCACCTCTAGTCTGGAGAGTCACATCGCGGAGGTGTCTGCTTCGCTGGGACGGTACCAGCAGCAGTCAGTGGCTGATCAGGCCTCCATCGACCGGCTCAAGGTAGGTAACGTCGGTCGAGACGACAGATTGTCACCCGTGAAAGGACGAGATTCCGTGAAATGAATAACGCAGCGGGCTGACATGCAGTTGTATACATTATTTTGAAAATACGACATAACTTGCACATCTGCAGAGAAATCAACGGCTACTTAGGCCTACACGTATAATGAATGTGATATTTTTATAACGATGATAAATGTTCATTTAACCATAAAAATAGAGGAAACATCAATCAAAGCGAATATGCCACTTCCCACAAATAAGTTTTTTTTTACTAGTCTTGCGATGTTTACTCCATAGGTATTAGGTAATATTCAGAGCAGAAAATAACGAACATTTACAGAAGGATTAATTTGTTCATACAAGTCGAATAACTGTTATACGTCTTTGGCAGAGGCTAGCGCCTTTGCAGTGGAAGCTGATTACCTACGCGTTGACCAATCATATTGCCTAGCATATTACCAATCATATCTGGAGGGCACATTATGCAGTAAACACAGGTATGCACCACTGTTTTTGTGTGTGTGTGTGTTTTTACAATGTCTTACCACAATCGTTACGTAAACCACATATAAATGTCAGATGGTAACATCTGCAATCGCTTTTTGAAACCTTTAGAGGTAAAGTGCAACCAAATTAGTGGAAAAGTCCGTCAGTCGCATTTTACGGCCTCATGAAATTTGGAATCGGCTCGTTGATTCAGATACGCATCTACCAACACTAAATCGCTGTAAAATGTAAATGTTACCGAATGCCGTGAATAGTGCACGACCTATGAGCCAGGGAGGGGCCATTTCTAGTGTTTTTCTCTTACGCGGCGCCAGTGAAAGCTTACGGGGCGCCAGTGAATGCGCGGCGGACGCGGCTCCCGCTGCCGCCATCCCCTCGTTACCCACGCCGCGCGTGCCCTCGGGCACTTCCGAAGGGAAGGCAATCAGCTGTTAGTTTCCAATCCAGGTTCTCCTTCATCCATGGTAGGGATTTCCAAGGCTTTAAAAACAAGAATACTCTTTTTATCGTACCCTATCGACTGCTTTTGCGTTTTGGTCCCGTGGCGGCTTACAGTCAACCACGTCGCTATCGGCTTTGTCAATAAGGACGAGAATTGAGCGCTGTGCCCACGCGGAAACGCCTTATCGGCAGCGAGTGTTACTGGAGACCCGCGGCGGGGCGGCAGTCGGTTGTCCGCGGCCAGCTGGCTGACGGAGGGAATGAAAAGCGGGGTCGTATATTACACGGCCGGGTGGGCTGGCTGGGGCTGGGTCACGTTATCCACGACGCTGGTGGCGCCGTTTGCCTCGCGAGAGATCGAGTGTCTGATCGGTGTCTCAGTCATACAGCTGTGTTGTGGAGTGTGACCTTGAAGTGGGTGTCTGGTGGTGTGGTACCGACTTGGTCGCGCCGAGCGGGCGGTGACTGTGCAGAAAAATGAGTGAGGAGGAACATAAAAAAGATACGGACTTCTTCCTGGTAGGTAAACCAGAACAAGCCATTCCCGAGTCGAAGTTGCCTACGGTGCGCTCCGTATTGAAGCTCTTTTTCTACGTCAAGAGGCGAACTCCGGACAACAGCACGGCTTTTCGCTCTGTAGTAGACAGCGTGCTCTGCGTTTGGTCAATGACACGTATCCCAACGATGCTGCCGCGAAATTGTGTTCGGAAACTGAAAAAGTTGTATGAAGAATGGCAGGCGCTAGCAAAGAACGAGAAGAGAAAAAGTGACCCCGGCGGCCGCAGAGCCAAGTTCATTGCCAGCCTTGACCAGCTTTGGGATGTCGGTGCCACCGATGCCATCGAACAGATACGAGGAAATCAAAGGCTGACGCAAGACGAGCGGGACATTGACATCAGGTTTTACTTAGATCAGTGTTCGGAAAGAAGAGGCTACATGTCCGAGAACCAGAAGGTGTTACCCCCGACAATACGACGGCGTGAACGAAAACGAGAGCGGAAGCGCACGATTGTTTCTAGGGCCGATGTACCGCCGGAGCCGGCCGCTCTTGCGAGCAGCAGCGGCACCGGCAGCCTGGCCGTGGCCAGCGATGCCGATCAATTCTTGGACCCAGCCCCGGCGAAGAGGACACGGCTCGGCTCTGCTGTGACGCCCATTATTCCCCGGCGTATCAGGAAGCCGAAGGCCACCATACCGATACCAGACGTCGCCACCCGCCCCGCTCAACAGGAAGTCGGGTAAGTGGCAAGTCGGACCATAATTAATCACATAAAACCTTTGGAAATATAACAATTCATTTGAAGTAGGATTTATATGCACTGTTAGACTGTAAGTTGTGCTACGTATTTAATATTTTCTAACATTGTGTTGCCCTTATTGCACTCATCTTTCCTCTGGCGTGACTGACGCCCCCCGCTGTCCCCCGATAGATGACCGTCAACTCGGCGGTGACCTGCTGAGGTGCTGGGACGTGGACCGGTCGGTACTGGAGCGCCGCAACGCCTGCCTCCGATCACCGACAGCGGTGCTCCGGAGTCAGATGCGGCAGACAGCGGCCCTGCTCTCCCAGGTGGAGACTGCCGAGCCAGAGGACGCTGAACTGTGTCCTGAAGGGGACAAGCCTCTGGATGCTCTCGTCATTGACTTCAGCTGGGACTAGAGCTGGGTCCTGTCCCACCTACTGGGGGAGAGCTGGGTCCTGTCCCACCTACTGGGGGAGAGCTCTCGATGGTGGCTGCAACATCCTGCCGGTGTGTGCGAGGGTGATACAGAACATAAATCGTCCAGAGACTTTGTGTGGGGTTTCAGTGCGAGTGTGCAGGCTGTTGAAGACTTCGTGTGAACGTGATCAACTTCGCATCAACGTGATCTACAATGTCGCTGAGAGGAAGCGTGGAAGCGTGGAAAAATAACTGCCGAAAGCGGATGTCGATCTTCAGGGAAGGTGCCCCTGCGCTCTAATATGAATGCAGCCGCCCCATGCACCGTTGTGGTGCTCTACCTTACTGCATGTCGCTACATTTTGGCCTCCGTCGCATATATTTGCCAATAATTATATGAAAGAAAAACATTGACCTTTTTCCTCGAATCTATAGCAAAATTAATGAAAAATCACCTTTTTATTTACGTGATATTTCGGCCAACAGACCATTATCAAACTAAAGAAAGAACAAATTGTTCTTTCTTTCGTTTGATAATGGTCTGTTGGCCGAAATATCACGTAAATAAAAAGGTGATTTTTCATTAATTTTGCTATAGATTCGAGGAAAAAGGTCAATGTTTTTCTTTCATATAATTGTATCTATCATGTTCCTCGCCAGAGCACTGGCAAACATTAATACTATTTGCCAATAAAGTCGTCTTTCCCTGTCGTGTTGCCTTGCTCTCACCCTTATCGACGCTGACCGCTCGCCATGTATTTAAACCGTTTGGGAGACTCCCAATAGTAATTGATATTTTTGTTTCAAAGGGAACTGTAAAATCAGAAAACGATATCGCACTACCGTAGCCACGAGTCCATACTCCATGCTCGTTTCCAAATTCATTTGCTTATAGCCTCCCTTGCATGGACGATTTCCAGGACCAGGTGACCCGCCTGGAGGAGGAGGCCCGTCAGCGGAGCCGCTCCTCGCCCTCCGACTTCATCAGTAACGAGCCATCGGCCGGCGACCGGGGCGGTCCAGACGTGGCCGCCACGGTGCACCAGCTGGCCTCCTGGCTGAAGGAGACGCCCCAGGAGCGGCCCGAACTGCTGCTGGCGCCACTCAAAGGTTAGTGATTGTTGACTATTGGTGGTACGTGGTAAAGGAATTGGCTGGGGATTTTAAGAAAGGGTGAGTCAAGCGGATGAGTAGGGTGAAACGTGTGGCATAACTGCGCTAGATCTGAGCACATATCTCATGTCGATGTGTTTTTTTCCTAACCCTTCGGTCTACATCTGTTCTGTGAGCATGTTCTGACGCTGCTTGATCTGCCAAGCCAGACAAACTTGGGAAAAACCGTGTGACTACATTTCTGTTTCTTTTTAATTTGGCGGATGTTCACGGGAGAACTGATGGGGGTTTGGGAAAAAACACGTCGAAGTATCCTTTGCTGTGTCTGCCTTCAAAACGGAACAGACTCGCGACGGGTCATCAGACCCCGTCTGCCCCGAATTACGACATTGCCTTGCCAATATGTCATTATTAAGCAGCTTATGACTTCTGAGTTTGGCTTGTTATCTATAGCCCGATGTGATTCCGTGAGACATATAACCACAAAATGACCCATATATGACCCTTGACCCCGTTTGACCTCTGGTAGAGTTGCTGTCGGATGGAGATGACACCGACTGGCGCCAGGAGTACAGACACCTCAAGGAGGAGTTCGAAAAGTACAAAGTTCGCGTCATGGCCGCCAGGAAAAGGGACCCGTAAGTACAAAAGAGAACTTCATAGGTCAGAGATTCGTGAAGGCTCAAACAGACCAAAAGCATCTCCATTAAACTCGTAGATAGATGTAGATTGTAGTTCTATGATGTGATAGTACATTAATACGATGTGAACTTTTTTAGTTTTAAGTGAGCCTTGTGGCAGAGGGTCAACAAACACTTCAGCTGAGTGACCGGAGTGCCTAATTTGTGGGCACTGACCTGTCGGGCTAAGTTTCCGCTATAATTCGTGTGCTCTTATCCTCTCAGCGGCCAGGCGACGTGTCCGTCGGTGACCACCGAGCTGGACACGCTCCGGAAGCAGAGCGAGGAGCTGCGACTGCGTCTGAGAAAAACCTGCGAGGAGCGGGACGACCTCGAGAGGACGCTGCGCTCGCAAGTCAGCCGGCTGGAGCAGGTGGGTTAGATAGGACGGACGGGGAGCGCAGCGAGAGGCCCGGCTGGAACAGGTGGGTTAAATAGCACGGACGGGGAGCGCAGTGAGAGGCCGGGCTCAGGGGGAGGGAGCTGGTCAGTTGGACTCTCTTTGCATTTAGATCGTTTTCAAGACCCAATTTGGTTTTGTCCTGTGCAATCTAGCTGGTATGTGTGTTGTTAGAGCTTTAGGTGCTTTGCTACTTTCAGGTGATAGTCTTCTGTAGTTTTTGGCTTCTTTCAAAGTTACAACTCTACATTTGGGTGCCTCCATCGCTGTCGCAAGTTTAGCCTTCCGGCGATCTGGCCTCTCCCTTGTCTCTTCTGAGTCGTCCATCTGACGTCCTCCCCCTCTTTCAGAGCGAGGCCGACCTGCGGATGGCTCACCGCTCCCAGCTGGCGTCTCTGGAGACTCAGCAGCGGCTGCGGCTAGCCGAGCTGGAGCAGCAGCTGGCCGGCCAGCGGCTGCGCACCTCGGCTCTGCTCGAGGAGCGCGACGCCGAGCTGCGCCAGCTGCGCGAGGCGGCCTCTGGCGCGCAGCCGGACACGGCCGCGGTGTCGGCCTCACTCTCCCAGCTGGGCCTGGAGCGGCACGAGGGACAGATGCTGCACTACATGCAGGTGCGGTGACTGGTTGGGGTGCCCGATTAGTGGGGTCAGTCAGGAGCTGCTAGACCCTGAAATAGCTACTTTGCCAGCCTCCATATAAAAATGTCAACTTAAAATGTCAATTAATACTGGCTGTTAATTATTTCACTAAGTTTAACGTCTCGATTGCCAAGAACGAATATAACACTCACAAGTCACATATATTCTCATGATAACTATAGCTCATTAATGTAAATGCCTGCATATCATTGGTATGTGCACATGATAATTGATTTTATGCCCCAGATTTTTCAGTTTTACTATCCCATGAATATACTAAATGTGTCCTTATCTTATTTACATAGTACTTAGTCCGTACCTCTGAACCTTAGCTTATCCTCGCCGCTGAAAACCGCTGCTTCTGTTCCTGCTGCAGGAGGTGGCGAGGAAGGACAAGGAGATCTCGAACCTGCGCCGGACCAAGCACCAGCTGGAGTCCACCATGCGGCAGCTGCAGAACAAGATGCTCGAGAGGGAGGAGGTGCTGCAGGACGAGGCTGAGACGCTCAGGGAGAAAATCAGACGGTGAGGAAGGGGTTTGGAGTGGGGCTGAATGGTGAGAGGGGACCAAGGGAGGGTCAGGCCGCTGATAGTGAGTCATAGAGTGGGTAGGAAATCACGACTGTGATATAGCTCATATTTCACTTTAGGTGAATTCTCCTGTTCGACGCATAGACGCTATGGTTACAAAACGGATTAAGATTCATGTCTTCGGAATACAGCTACAAAACCTTCGACAAACTTCACCATAGCCTCGTCGATATATTATAGGGAAGGGAACATGTCTTGACCTATTACACCGCACGCCTGTGCCACTGCTGGAGACCTTTGCGGTGGTGACCGATGTCTGGTCAGTACTCGATGATTGCTGCCCTCTCGGTCTCAAAGAACACATGTTGGTGGTTAGCGGAGTGGTCAGCATCTGTGACCAGACGATAATTGAGTGTAGGTGTCCTGTGCGGTCTCACAAGTGTGACCCCTCGGGGTATAAAGTCGGACCACCGCTGGGTCAGTCCACACTCCACCTGACTGGTGGGTCTCGGAAGTTAGAAGACACACAGACACCATGAAGCTGCTGGTGGTCGCCGCCTGCGTGACGGCCGTGACCGTGGCCGTGCCTCTCGACTCCCGGGTCGAGGACCAGGACGAGCTGGAGATGCACGAGATGAACGCGCCCACCTACCAGGAGGTGCAGCAGAAGATGGGCCTCGGCGACGGCGCCTCCCTCTCCCGCTCCGGTAAGGTTCTAGACTCGGTGTTCTGGAAGGAGATCGCCCAGGACATCCTGAGGACCAAGCTGGCCGATCCCGTGTACGATCATCAGGCCAAGAACGCCGTGCTTTTCATCGGAGACGGTATGTCCATCGCCACGCTGGCGGCCGCCAGGAAGCGCAAGGGTCTCCTGAGCGGCGCTGATGTGCCCGAGCACACCATGCTCTCCTGGGAGACCTTCCCCTACCTGGGACTGTCCAAGACGTACAACTGCGACCGCTGGACGGCCGACTCCGCCTCCACGGCCACCGCGTACCTGACCGGCGCCAAGGGCAACTTCCTCACGGTCGGTGTCGACTGCTCCGTCCTCATCTGGAACTGTGATGCTGTCAACGAGGCCTCCTCACCCAAGTCGATCCTCCGCTACGGAGTGGAGGCCGGTAAGTGGGTCGGTCTGGTGTCCACCGCCCGTATCACGCACGCCTCTCCCGCTGCCACCTTCGGCCACACCGCCTACCGTACCTGGGAGTCCGATGCCGACTTCGTCGCCATGGAATGGATGACCGGACCCGTCAAGGACTCATGCAAGAACGTCATGAAGGACCTGTCCACCCAGTTCGTCGAGCGTGAAGGCATCGACATCAACGTCGCCTTCGGCGGCGGCTGGGGCAAGTTCACGCCGAAGGAGGTCGAGGGTGGCTCCCGTCTGGATGGCCGTGACCTGATCCAGGAGTGGAAGGACAAGCAGGCCTCCCTGGGACGCAGCTACGCGTACCTCACCACCAAAGACGAGCTGAACAACTTTGACGCCACTTCTGCCGACTACGTGCTGGGTCTGTTCAGTCGCAGTCATATGCAGTACCGCGCTTTCCAGACCCCCGACGACGTCAACCTGACCGAGATGGTGAAGAAGGCTGTGGAGATCCTGAAGCGCGGACCGAACGGCTTCGTGCTGTTCGTGGAGGGTGCCAAGATCGACCACGGACACCATTACGGCAACGCGTACACGGCCATCGACGAGACCATCGAGCTGGAGGAGGTCGTCCAGCACGTCATGGACAACACTGACGAGTCAGAGACGCTGATCGTGGTCTCTTCGGACCACTCACACACCTTCGGTATCAACGGCTACCCGGAGCGCGGCCTGGATATGTTCGGCCCGTCCTCCTTCCTGGCTGGCGGCATGCAGAAGGGAGGCCCGCCGCCCAAGCTGCCCTATCCCATCATGCAGTACGCCAACGGTCCGGGAGGCACCGAGGACTGGGCTGAGTTCGAGGCCAAGCGCGCTCGTCTGGCCGACATGAGCGAGACGGCCGAGTGGCGCGACCCGCACTACAAGCAGATCGCCGGCATCTACCTGCCCAAGGAGACCCACGGAGGAGAGGATGTGGGCATCTTCGCGCGCGGTCCGGGAGCCCACCTCCTGCGCGGCAGCCTGGAGGAGAACGTGATCCACCACGTCATCAACTACGCCCTCTGCCAGGGAGACTTTGCCACCGTGTGCGACAAGAAATAGATTGACGGACAAAGATGCTCCAGGGGCTGGACGCGACTTGTTCCTTCCACGTTGTTGTCTTATGTCTGCGTGAATTTTGTGCCGACGTCTTTTGTCTCACCCTCTGTCATCTGATGTCATGGCATCCTCTGTCTACCGAAAATATATGTGGA